TAAAAATTTGGTTTTTGGCTTAGGTTGATAATAATAAAGTTGATATTAATAGGGGTCATATATAATACAAATAATAAACTCAGGTTTTATTAAATGACAACTTAGATTTTACTCTGTTATATTATAATTTATTAAAATTCGTCTATATAAATTTTTTTTTTTTTGATATTAAAGTGATCTTTTAGGCTAAAAAACATTTATTAGAAATTTTAATTTCATTTATATCAATAGTTCGCCTAAAAGTTCTATACTATCTGCTGTATTTGTACTCCAACTATAGGGTATCTATTTAAATCCTCTGATTATAACCTACTTCCAAGCTAATAGAAACTTTTAACTCTGAGTATTACTCACTATTCAGAAGTAGATTTTGTTTTTATCTAATTAGATTTTGCATCTACCTTAGAACTTACTTAACCCCAAATTAAGCTAGTCTATTTATGAAGTAAATCTAACAGAGTAATCTATATTTTATATATATTTTTACTTGCATGTTTGGTAACTTCTTCCTAACTAGTACCTCTATTACTAAATTCATATTTCAAGCCAACTTTTGGAATACTGCTATAACCCAATTTGTATCTCAAACCACAACCTTCCTAATTAGTGACTTATTACATACTTCTGCTCTTATAAGGTTTACAACAACCTCAGTACTCACATTCCAACTATCTTCTTACCTAGGTTCTTTATCAGTCCATTTCTTACTTCTAGCTAGCAACTTGGAAGAGTCAGTTTGCTTAAACTTTAAGTGTTTTACAGTTACTCTCCTCTTAGTTTATACTTTCAAAATGTATAGCCTTTTTCTTTGGTATCGGATTTGTCAACCAAATTCATGTTTCAATCAAATTCGTATATTTTGATCTATCATTAATAACTTGTAATATAGTAGTTTAATCTTGATAATTTTGATATTATTTGAATCCTCACAGTAAGAGGATTCAAATGGTATCAAGATTAAACTACTATATCATGAGTTATCAATGATAGATCAAAATATACAAATTTGATTAAAACACAAATTTGGTCGACAAATTTAATATATCTAATACTTGACGGTTTAACTAGTGCATCCCCCTACTTAAAAACCTGATCGTTTAGTTTTCCAATCTTAGACCTAGTTCAAATTTAACCTTCCTGTAATACTGTCAAAGATCATTGCTATCTCTAAACTCAAGACTTGCCAAATGGGTTTTTAGTTATTCTGATTCTTTGGATTTATTATACCAAAACTTCTATTACTAGATGGTGTGACCAGAGTTATAGATTAATCAATAGATTACTATTAACCATATACAAACCTATTTTTCAAAATCATCACCAGTGGAATTTGAACTCTAGACCTGCTGCTTGGAGAGGGTAATAACTAGACTACTACACTAAGTCACTACACCTCTATATCAATTTTTTTATTTTAGCTAGTGCAACCCTTTATATATACATTTTGGTGAAAACTTTTGCTTTAATACATCTAATTAACCACTTTTTATATTAAAAGTTTATGAACTTAAAGTAGATAAAATAATTAACCACTTTTAAAAACACAAAACTTTACAAGGAAAAGTTTATTTTTTATATTTTTTATATCATTGAATTTGTTAAAACTTTAGCAAAAACTTTGTTTTAAGAAATGTTATATTTTGGCTAGGGTTTTGGGTAATAAAATCAAAAATGTAAATTTGTTGATTTGTGTAATTTTATAGAATCTTTGCTAAAAAAATTACTTTTTGGAATTTTCCAATCAGGCTAATTCAAAAAAGCTTAAACCAGAATGCCAGTTCTTATTCATATATAAAACTATCTTTTGCTTTATTTATTCAATAGTTTATGTCGAATTAGTAAAGTAGAAAGATGTTTTACATATGAATAAGAACCAGTATTCTGGTCTAAGCTTTTCCGAATTAACCCGATCAGAAAATCCCGAAGGTATATGATAAAATTTTGGATTGACAAATCATGTAGATTTTCCAAATCAGAGTAACCCTTACGTCATATAAAATTTATAGTTGTCAGATTAATTGATTTAAATTAGCCAATCAGATGAAAATTTGAATTGTGATTGGTGATATCGAATGTTAAGATCTATAAATTTTATCGTTTTTTTGGATTATTTAATTTTGTTTCACTTTAAGATGTTAACCTCGAAAGCCCTTTTACGAAATTTGATACCGTTAGGGACGGGTAGGATACAATCTAACTTACTTGTTATTATTTTACTTCTTAGCATTTAGTCTTGATTATTTTTGCAGGAAAACAACTTCAATTTTTTTCAGCAGTTCCGAAACAGAAGGCACAACAAGCAAAAACAAGGGAAGGTGAGCCGTGGTTAGTTTTATTTTTGCCCTTTCGTTCGAAATTTTTTTCGATATAACATATTATCGCCTCTTCGAATTTCTCGACTTAATTCGATAAGCTTTTCCCAAGTCCATGTGATTACTGAATGCTGCCCTTGTATCTACACTTTAACAACTGTTATCGCTGCCTGATTATTAAATTCCGTAATATTTTATTGACGATATAACTTAGTATTCAGACTCAATTTATAATCGCACTAATTCGAAAAGAGCGATAATCAAAGTTTCAATCTTTCATACTTGACCTTGTATTTTTAGATGTATCTGAATTCACCCTAAGGTACAACCAGGCACGAGGTCTGGCAACTGAAGGTAGAACTACTATCACTCCAGACTCGTCACCTGCAAGTGTCGCAAAAAAATCATCTCCTGGCGATTTCGCTCTTGCTCAACCTGCCAACACTGCCGGTATTTTCCTTTATTATTCCATATCAATTGTTATTATTAATCTTTTATATAACTATTACACTTCTTTCCCCAGAATACGTGTTGTCAACTATAGATAAAGTGGTCAATTATGCTCGCCAAGGCTCTATTTGGCCAATGGTAACTATCTGAAGGTAAGGTTTCAGGGACGAATAATTTTATATCATAAATTAACACTTTTTTTTATTGGCACATATATCAGACTTTCGGTTTAGCCTGTTGTGCCGGTAAATTCTTGCTTCATTTATTTCATATCTTCAGTCAACTCCAAGAGTGTAGCGTCACTTAAAAGATTTTTTTCTTTCCGAATATTGTAGTCGAAATGATGCATATGGCAGCGGCGAGATATGATCAGGACCGTCTTGGAATTGTTTTCCGAGCCTCTCCACGTCAATCAGACGTCATGATAGTCGCTGGTACTTTAACTAATAAAATGGCGCCCGCATTGAGAAAAGTTTATGACCAGGCAAGCATTTACTTGAACATTCTTTTAACGGATTATTGAAAAATTGAAAAAATATATTTACACATTACATCTTATTATGCATTTATTCGAGTAGATGCCCGAGCCTCGTTGGGTTATTTCTATGGGTTCATGTGCAAATGGTGGTGGATATTACCATTATTCTTACAGTGTTGTTAGGGGGTAAATATTGAAAATTTCAAATGGCTTTCATTAAAATCGTCATTACTTATATATTATTCATTTTACCCAGTTGCGACAGAATTGTACCTGTTGATATTTACGTTCCAGGATGTCCACCAACGGCAGAGGCATTGTTATATGGTGTACTTCAATTACAGAAGAAGATGAGAAGGTCAAGGGTATGTCACTGTGTCATTGGTAAATAAAATTATAAATTATTTTATTACTAATTAATTTTCTACTTCTGCAGACTACTCAATTATGGTACAGGAAGTAACTTAATACTCAATTCGAGAAATATAAATTATCTTTGAAAGCTTTAGATAGGCTTAATTTCCTCATAATTTAATGAGTAGTTACGCCTTATAACATTTTAAATGGATTTATAATTATAAGAATATAGGATTAAAAAAAAAAAAAGATATGGGTATCATCGTTCATAATTTGGGTGCCAACTTAAAAAGAAAGGCGATACATACCTCTTTTAAGCTTGCAAAAATTCTTGTTCACTTTTAGTCTATAGGCTTTGGTAAAGTAGGATCAAATTTTAAATAAGAGTTTGTTTCTTACTTACCTAATTTTGTATATGTTTATGTTCTTTTTCTCAAATAAATATTGCTTCACTAAATTATCATTTTGCATCAGCATTTCCACATTCGGTCAATCGTTGCAGATCTTGTCAATCTTTTTAACGATGTACACCATTACATCTTGCGTCGTCGTACAGTACTTACCCCTGAACTTGAGGACTTTCGGCCGGTAATAACAATGTTTCAGGTAGAGTTATTCAATATTCTAAATCCTTTTGTCAACAATGTTAAGATATTCGTTGTTTCATTTGTACATAGTGATCAATATTTATGTTGAGAATAACGCTTTTATAATAGTCAGGAATATGATAGCGATTAGCCTTTTATGAATTTATGAATTTTTCATCATGTGGTGTGAAAACGGGAAAATTTCAGATGGCTTGAGATTCAAGCTACGTATGTAGGTTATACCAAAATATATCCAGGTCCCCGTTAATGTTCTTGAAGTACCTTATCAACAAAACTTACGTAATGGTAGTCATTTCAACCTTATCCAAACCATTTGATTGGCATTTCGTTGGCTCTTTATTAAGTATTATTACGCCATTCGGAATCTTCCTGTCGATGCATTTCGGAATTAAATATCAACTGGTTTAGTAAAAGACAGAAAGTCACGATATGATTCTTTGCAAATTATAGTGATCAATTTATAAATAATCATTGAAATCATTGTACCGTATTTAGGTTGCACATTTACAGATATGTGCTATTGTCTATTATATAAATCATTACAATAAATCTTGAGTTGATGCCTAAAAAATATAATACAGTGCAACATTTATGTAATTCGATAAACATTAAAAACTCTCTCTTGAAAATATTAAGTGACCTCAGTATCGAGTCGTGAATAAATCATAAAAAAAAAAAAAGGACAAAGGGTAGTGTGTACTTATTCTATTATTAAAGTGTTTAGCACTACATATACTCGACAACTAAGATATCAAACTTAACATACAATACAACTTGTTTTTTGGTGTCAAAAGAATGTCTACAGAATCAAAAAAACGAATAAACTATTTTTATGATCGTAAGTAGATTGTCCTTGAGGTTATTTATCGTTCGAGTGAACTTAGCACGCGTGGTGTGATATTCTATGTATTTTGAAAAGTGGGTTGGGTTTAGAAAGGTCACAAAACCTTTGCCAGAAGGAAAAAAACCATATTAATCAAATTTCTTGCCGGGTCTTTTTGGTTTTCTTTTTTAGATGTCATAGGCAGTTTTAATCATGGAAGTGGCCATCCTATGAAGCCCCTGAGAGTAAGGATGACCCATAATTTGGTGATGAAATATGGATTATACAAGAGGATGGAAATATTTGTATCCAAATTTATCTGATATTGGTCTTAACATTAACTTTGATCTAGTTTATTCTTGTTCGTTAGTGATTCATAGTTTACAAGATTTCTTTGATGAATTTTTTATTCAAATCTCTTTTTTTTTTCCATATAATCCTTGACTTAAAAGCGAATTATGAATAGAGACCAAGACCTGGAACAATTGAGGAGCTCACTCAATTTCATACCGATGATTATATTAATTTTTTAAGCAGAGTTACGGCGGATAATGTTGATACTTGTATAAAAGATTGTATCAAATGTATACATATTGCATTTTTTTTTTTATGATTTCTTTACATGGGCATATTGATAAATTTTTCATATTTCAATAGTCAACGTTGGAGATGATTGTCCGGCTTTTGACGGGCTACTTGAATATTGTAGAAGAGCGGCAGGTGGTTCTCTTGGTCAGTAAATATTTCACCTTTTTTCAAACCAAAATTTGAACCAAATACTCCATAATTGTCTAGTTCTTATTAATTATTATGAGTATATTAATTTGTATCATTATTTGATAATTTTGTAGAAGGAGCAGCCAGAATAAATAATGGTTTATGCGATATAGCCGTAAATTGGGCCGGAGGATTACATCACGCAAAAAAACAGGAGGCCAGCGGGTTTTGTTATGTTAACGATATTGTGATTGCAATTCTTGAATTATTGAGGTAAAAAAAAATATATATATTTTTCGATGTAAAACTTGTATTTGTGATTTATATGAAAAAGGACAAATTTCTAATTGATAATTTGATTTATAGATTCCACCAACGCGTTCTTTATATCGATATTGATATCCACCATGGCGATGGTGTTGAAGAAGCTTTTTATACAACTGACCGAGTAATGACGTTGAGTTTTCATAATTATGGAGAATATTTTCCGGGAACGGGAGATATCAATGTATGTTTATATATTAGACATTAGGATGAATCCGATGAGCAGAGAAATGCACGGCGGTGGGTTTTCTATGGACGGTGTTCTCGGATTTTAGAGATGGTGCTGCATCCTTTAATTATTCGATTAACCTGTTATCACAGGACATTGGTATAGGAAAAGGTAAATATTACGCCGTGAATTTTCCTCTAAGAGAGGGCATAGACGACGAGTCGTATAAAAGCGTATTTGAGCCGGTTGGTTTTAATCTTTTACAAATTCAAAACTTATTCATTTTCTACCTTTGCATATTAATTGATACGTTTATTGATAATTTTGTTAGGTAGTTACCCGAGTAATTGAGTGGTATCAACCTGAAGTAATCGTTTTACAGTGCGGCGCGGACTCACTAAGCGGTGATCGTCTTGGTTGCTTCAATCTATCGTCAAAAGGTAAATTAACTGAATAGATTCTATTTTTCCTAAATTTTAATTATATAATTATTTATTTCACATTCCCATTTTACAGGCCATGCACATTGTGTGCGATTTGTCAAAAAGTTTAACATTCCAATGTTAGTACTGGGAGGTGGTGGTTATACTGTACGAAATGTGTCAAGAGCTTGGGCATATGAAACCGGGGTGATTGTTGGACAAGAGATTGGACCAGGTTAAGTCTTTTATTTCTGGATAATCTATAATTTTTCAAATATGACTTAACCAAGTTATTTTTTATAGAGTTACCTCCTCGTTCAGAGCACGATTATTTTGAATATTTTGGGCATGATAATAAAATAGATGTTCTATCAAGTAACATGGAAAATAAGAATACAAGAGAATATTTAGAAAAGATAACGTAAGGCTACAGTTATAATATTTACATCGCTTAGTATTTATATTATTTTTAACATATAATCTTTCCTGTTAGTCTTAAAGTATTTGAAAATTTGGATCGATCAAGGCATACACCTAGTGTCCAATTACAAGGTTCAATGTTTATCTTTTTTTTTTTTTTTAAAGTCCTTTATGCTATTTTGTCCTCAATTTTTTACAACAGCGATTGCTATATTATTTATAGAGATACCGGGGAAAAACTACGACTTTGATGAACGTTTCGATGATGATAATCTGGATGAACGGATTTCAAGTATACAGATGAAACTTAATTCCGTTTGCCCTTTTGAAACTATAAATTATTAATATTTGGTCTATTTCATACAGAACGACTAAGAGACAAACATATCGTACCGGATAATGAATATTATGATTCACCTGATGAGGAATGCACATTTAAGATTCCCATTCCTAACGAGTACGGGCCTTCAAGATATGTGCGGTCGTATCGCCACAAGTTGATAAAAAATAGTCAAAAGTGAGAAGCTAATCTGCTACATTATTAAACCATATAGATGTTTACTTAATAAATCTTTTTTAAGATTATAGGTACTTAGATTTAAATTATAGATAGTTTAATTCTTGTAATATAATATAAAATTAACTAATAAAAAAATTTTTTACAAAAACTTTTTTAGTAGTAGGTATTAAAAAATAGTAACTTTTTTTAATTAAGCATCTTGTAATTAAAATATTAATTAAATTAGGTTTAAACAAACATTATCTATTTTAAAGTTAGCTTAAATTAACTACTGTATTAAAAATTATTTTTTAAAATTTTAAATAATAAAAATTAAGTTGTTATTTAGATTTAAAATTTTATAATTTTTTAAATAAGCCACCCCCAAATATCAAAATGTGCTCCGGAAGAGGTATTCGTATTATGTAAATCCTTATTTTGATCTTAATAAAAGTTGTTCATCAGGCCTTTCCGATTCTAATGGTGGTAAAATCATTAAAATCTAACCGGTAGTTCCTAAGATATATATCTCCAAAGTTAGTTTACTTTAAAGCAAAAACTACTGTCCCGATTTTAATGATTTTACTACCATTAGAACCGGAAAGGCCTGATGAACAACTTTTATTAAGCTCAAAATAAGGATTTACTTAATAAAAATGTCTCTCCCAGAGCACTTTTTGAATTTTGGGGGGTGGCATTAACAATTCTCTAAATTAAAGTATAAATATTTTTTTTTTTATTAAATATAAATTTTATTAAAATTTTTTATTTGTTTATTATATTGTTTTAAATTATTTTTATTATTATTATTTTTAATTTGGCAGTCTTGCCAATACTGTTTATTAGGATATTAATTACAAATACACATATACTCTTATCAACTATCTAGTATTTCAAACTATAAATCACCAAATGGTTTTCAAATTTATTTTTATTATATATCCTGTTTATATACTACTATACAACATTTACTAGCCAAATTCCATCTCTTATTACTTATCACATTACTTCTAATTTATTTCTTATATAATTTTCAAATTGGTGTTGTTTGAGTAGGTGCTTTTCTTGTTTTCAGTTTAGTGTTTTTCAAGTATTACTTTAAGATCTAATCTATATCTCAAGCTCGGTACTGCTGTTATTATAAGATTTGTATTTCAAGCCACTTGCTAGCACTAGAGGTTATTTCATATTACTTTAGATATTCATGTTATACACTATTTAATTAGACTATCAAATTTTTTTTTTCTTTAACAATTCGGCAATCATGCCTTAACTTTATTAGGCTTTGTACAACTAATCAAGAATATGTAAAATTTTACAATCAGGTACTGTATTTCATAAGATAAGTGATAAACTCTTAACTTGTTAGCAAATAGTGTATAGAAACTATCTCTAAACAACAAGTATCATAATCCAAATTGTTATCTAAATTACAAGTTATGACTAACTTGGTTACTAACTTGGTACCTATGTTTGACCTGCGATAGTAGGATTCTCCTCTTTCTAGACCCCTCCTGCAATTGGATATGACTTAGATCTTAACAAATAGTATCTACTGCTTATTATAATTACCTCTTCCTTCTTTTAGACTTCTTTTATCTAAGCCTAGCAACATAATTAAACCCTTATTTGTATATAAAAGTAAAAAAAATAAAGCCATGTTTACGAAAGACAAATATTTTAGAAAAAAATACCTTATAGCAATAAAAAAAAACACAAACAAGAAATCAAATTTTAAAATAATCTATTATAAATGAATAAAAATAAAAAAAGCAAAAAAAAAGAAAAATAGCTGTAATATACTATTATAGCCTATACTAGGTATAAGGGTAAAAATTATATAATAATTGCAACTAATTACTATATCTTAATTGTAAAGCCTTTGTTTTAACTTTGGGACTTATTCTGTGCACTGACTCAACTTAGGTATCTCCTAAACAGGGGCAATAATCTCTTCTCTATATCATAGCAACATGATTATAAATAAATAAAACATGTAGTTGTATTTTACTGAGTTTGTCTAAATTAGATAAGTATAAACAATACCAATCTTTTGGAAAAGTAAGCTGGATTGCTCACTTTTTATTAAAAATTTTGGTAAAGTTGGCAAAATTTGAGAGAGAAAAAAAACACTAGAAATTACTTAAAAGAGTATAGATTTTTTCTTTTTACTAAAATCAATAGTAATACCAGAGCCTGCATAGTACTTAGTCTTTTTGGTGAGTGATAAACTCTGGACTTGTCAGCAAAGGGTTTGGGTTAAAATCCCAATAAACAAAATTCTGACAGAGTCAAAATCCAAACAAAATTAGCCAGAATTAGCTTAATATTGGTGAATTTTGACCTTGTTGAGATTCTTATTTTTGGAATTTTGACCTAAGCCTGTTAGCAAGTAGCATATAAGAACTACTTCTAAACGACAAGTGCCATATCTGCAGTAGGTAGTATTCACACAAACCCAAATTAAATCAAACTTTAGGTTAAATTTGAGTTTGATTTGAAGTTCAAATCAAACTCAAACCAAACTATTTTTTTAAATATTGCTTGATTTGAGTTTGAAATCAAACTTTCAAAAATAGTTTAGGTTTGGTTTGGGTTTGATTTGTAAGTTTGCAAACATGTTTGGGTTTGATATATATTGTGTAAAACAAATAAATGATTTGCCTGCTTAGACTTTTATTAAAAAATTTAAAAATTTTTTAAATTGTAAAATTAAAATTTTATTTTTATAAAGCTATAACCTGGAAATAATAGAATTTTGAGCAAATCTATTGGGCCGGTTCCAACTAGGTATGAGACTAAACAGACTATTAAACTAATTAAATATAAATTATAAATTATTATATATTTATTTGTGTGATACCACAACTCTTCTCGACAATTATTTAAACCAAAAATCTGACTAAATAAAAAAACAAAATTTTTGTTGGAGAGACGTGGCTATGAAGTGGTTTGTC